TCAATATTAAGCACTCCAAATTTCATTATAAATACATGAATAATTTGACGTCTCCATCGACACACACACACATTCAGGAGCAACTTCTCTGCAGTATTTAAGATGTTCATTACCTCACCCCCACGGCAGTAGAGGAGGAGTTGGATCCAACAGGCAGCAGTGAATGCCAGGCCTGGCACAGCTGTACAAGCAAAGCTGTAAAGAGAAGTCACCGGCCACTGTCGCTCAATCTTTCCCTGTGTTAATCCCACACTGTCTGCATGCACGTCAGACCCATTCCTCACATCCTTGCATTGCTTTTCACACCCCTAAGTTCAATTTGGCAGGAAAGTGGACACGTTGCATCACTTCTCCTGGCTGAAAATTCTCTCGGCATTGTTCCCCTCCAATAATCTTGTTTCTGAGACAGCATGATGGCTGTGTTATCATGTACAATCGATTCGCTAGTCATTTTCTGCAAAATATTTTCTTGCTTCTTGCGTTCTCTTTCAGGTACTCACTGAAGCGTGTAAAGTGAACGCACAAACCTGAGTTTTACTCGTGCATTTCCACACCAGAGCCCGGCTTTGTGACTTTTAACAGCGGCGCGGCAAATATGTGTACATATGAGATTTAAAAGCCTTTAATGCCCCTGAATCTCTTCGTAGCTGATCAGATCATCTTCTGAATGGCCTCGATACACAAACATGCGGCGTGTGTGTACAGAAGAGTCGGCTCCATTTATCTGCATTCATCCTTCACATTATCATGGAGGGACAGCTTGCTGTCATATCCCAGACCGTTCCTGTGGCTGGACAAATGCGCTGAAAAGTGGACCCTCAAGTGTTGGGCACGTTTTACTAAACAAGCCCCTCTATGTTTTATAGACTTACAGAATTTTATAGCCGAGCTCCAGCGGAACCAAATCCCGGCCTTCGGGGCAGAAACTTTATTTTAACATCTCTCTTTTTTGGGGGGGAGGACTGACATTTTGTCCTCTGCCTTCAAAATGTTTTCCCAAGAAGCTTCTCCTCAGTTGACCTACGCAGAGACCATTGCCTCTGGCTTGTCACAGGGAAAAGAGTGATGCGGTTCTATGGGTAACAGAGAGGGAGGCTCTGTACTGAGACAGCAGCAGGTGCAGCCGTGACAGTTGCCGTGTTGTTGCTAGCCCCACACTGTAGTCAAGATGAGGTTCACAGATGTAGCCACTCAGTGCAGTGGTTTATTGGCTGCCTGAAACAATGCATCTCTGTCAAGAACAACTCCTCCTAAGGCCATTTCAGCCTAACAGTGCTGCGTATGAAACAAGGCGTAGAAAAAGCTCATTCTGACACACAAGGTCAATTCAGCTCCACAGCAACACAATCAAAGCTCCCCTCGCTGTGCCAAAAAGCAAAACAAATACCAACCCGGAGCAATCACGCTCAAACGTGGAGGTTTCAGCCACATTTTCATATTCAGCCATGTGCATAATAATAAATATAACAATAAAAATATCAATAATAATTCCAGTGGCACCTTGAGATTTATGCTATGAGCATTATCACCATTTATCAAAGCATATTTGTGACTAATTATTAGCAGCGCTACCTGAGGCTGCACTTTAGCCCACATGCACTGAGTAAAGTAATGGCACCCATTTTCCCGCGGCCCTTTTCATTTTTTTTTTCTCCCGTTGGACAAGAGAAAGCAAACCTGATTCTTTTCTTCAATTCAGATGTGAAGCAGTCCACAAAGTCCAGTCCAACCTTGTGTTTTGTTGAATCTGAGAGTAGTAGAGATCTGAGATAATATGACTATTGTTTTCCTGTAAAGCACCCAGTCTCTGCTTGTTCAATTACTGGAAGGAGCCTCAACGAGGGCGGTTAAATCATTTGCAGAGACATTATCTACGCAGAGAGAGAAAGACAGAGAAAGAGAGGGAGGGTGTGTGGCGGGGAGGGGGGGTGAGGAGGAGGGGAGAGCCGGCATAGGGGCCAAACTTTAGTTTGGAGAGGAAATAGAAACATTTTTGTGGACCACACATGGAGGGTGCTGCGAGGATAAAAGCAGCAGGATTCATGATTCACTGCAGGAAATTAATAGACTAATACAGTTCTCTGTTTCACTGCCAAAAACCACATAATAAGATAAAATTGTTTTCATTACAGGTGATGATGGATATCTATGTAGATTATTAAAATGTACACAGAATTTATGAGCGCGAGAGAGACCGCAGAATTTCCTTCCTCGCATATGTCGCCTACAAACAAAAACCGACTCACGAGCACTCATCTGTCAGCGTGAGCAATCATTAAGAGATAATTTGATTGTTTTTTCAACCTCGGCTGTGTTTGATGTCTCTGGCATGGTAGCAATTGAACAGACAATTATTTTGTTGATTAGCTTAGTTTTTAGCAACTTACCATGCCTGTGATATTCCTCTGAAACTCCCAGACCAGACGCTCAACTCCATCTGACTTGGCAGCTACGTTACAAGAACAAAGCTTCTGCACTCCCTAACTACATACTGTAAAATAAAATATCATGAAAGAAAACCACCGCCTAAACAAATAAACGTATAGAATAAAATATGCAACGATGGGGGCGGTAAAAAAAAGCAGAACAAAACATGTATTTGGCAGGACTTTAGCTGCAAATAAGGAAGTGCACCGTTTATGGGAGTGGATCTACCTGCAGGTCACTTTGACTTTTTAGAGTATTTTAACACTGGAAACACTGCTGTGTGTTTTTGATGGATTCCAAAATGCTTCTCTGTATCGTTTTCTTTTTTTTTTTTTTAATTTTTAATTTTTATCGTTTTCTGAATCATCTCCCAGTAGATCAATATCCAAACACTTAAGAAGAACTCTAAAACCAAATATTCTCACATCTTTTTCGCTCATTTTTCATCCACTGGAGAAACAACTACTGCTTTTTCAGATATACATATATATGTATTAGTTTTAGTTCAGTGTTTCTGTTCCCTACAGATTTCTTTAAGAGGGTCCCGGTTCACTAGACTGCTAAACAGTCAACAACAAACAGGTACGTAAATAATTTGGTATATTTAAAATACAGCCCCAGAAGCAAACGCAAATAAAAGCGCTGCCACTCAAACGAGTAAAATTATATTGAAATGTCAAACTCGACTTACCATTTTTGTTCGCTGCAAGAATGTCGGCTTGAATATACTGGAGAACATCCATATCCCATTGTTAAAAAAAATAAAGAAGCAACTTTTCTTACTTGCAATGAGTCACAATTGTCAAGGACAGCAGCCTATATGGAGGAAATATATTGCTCTGCTGTGTTTACCCACACCATCCCTAAATAAGAGCCCTGTCTTGTTGGAAAAGGGGCTTTTAAATGTGGATGTGCTTCGCTCGCCTATAATCCAGCCGAGACATTACTCCTTCCCCTGGCAGACGTCCGCAGATCCCCCCTCTCTCCCAGCCAGGCCTTGCTCTCCGCTGCTATGGCAGAGCCGCAATAACTGCTGTTTGCTTAGAGCCTTGCCTCCCAAGTTCTCCTCTGTCACACTGAAATTGAATATTTTCCCAAATAGTGTTGCAGCTGTGCACAGATAAGGACAAGTCCTGTTCACATAGCACAAAAATGAGACTGTGTGTGTGTGTGTGTGTGTGTGTGTGTGTGTGTGTGTGTGTGTGTGTGTGTGTGTGTGTTTCAACCTTCTTCAAATTACAATAGGAATAAATGTAACAACTTATATATAAAAGCATCAAAAATAACCACAATGTCAGGTCTGAAAATTAAGAAATAATATTTTTAAATAATAAAAAAAAAACATAATTTATTTGCAATCTCGTTTTTTATACCTCTAGAGATTAATATAAAAATGTTGTTGTTTTTTTTAAAAAAAATCACAATTTGTTGATCAAATTTCCACCCAGTGATCTCTTGGCAGAATTTTCTTTCACTTCTCTGAGTGACCTAAACACACGTTGCTAATACGAGCAGTGTTTTGAACACATTGTAGAATGAATGGCAAACAGAACGGCGTGCTACGCCCAGTCATCTTGTGACCAGAGGACACACAAAAAAGGAGATTTTATGACCCAGTTTCGCACTTTGCACAGCCTTATCTCCAAATACCTTTCATAAAAAGAGATGCCAGATAAGCTAAGGGAGACTGCCACTTAGCCAGTGCAGACAAACCATCGTGACATCTATCGGCTAACGCTCATGCTGTTTCTTGTCATCAGACTTTGAATGGAGCCCTACTTTCCACTCCCAGAGTAATGTTCTGCTAGGAAATTATTTAGGCAAGCAGAAAGTTTCACCTGCCATTTCAGGGGCACCGAATCCCCCCGCTGCACCAGAGGCCTTTGGCAAGTGGAAACAAATGTTTCACAAAATGGCAGGGAGGGGAACACACTAGCGCACTAGCGTTTTACTGATTGCCAATCGTAAAATAAAATCAGTCATGAAAGGGGAGGTACACTGGCCCACCAAAGCCCTGCACATTACATCAAATTTGCCATAGCTTTCTTTTACAGCCTTGTTTATTCCCTTTAATGGCAAGCAGTTATCCGCACAGTATGACTCCATGTAGGTGGTTAAGGCAAAAGAAAAGATTGCATCTGAAAACACAAACCCACAATTCACACGCCAAATAAGCAATGGGATGTAAATCTAACTCCCTGCAATCCTCTTCTGCTGACACACTCGAAGCCTCCATCATTTCTTTTATTATTTGGGGGGTGGATTATGCTGTGGAGCAGCTAGCACATCATTTGCAACAACAACTACACTTTTAAATTGGTCATTGTTCCTTAGCTAACAAAGACTCTGATGCGCAGGAAGGACAGCAAAGATGGGCTCACACATCCTGACAGTGCGAGGCTGGCACAAGCTATCCATGCAGCCACAAAGCAACCTTTAAATCAGTCGTAGTGGCTCGCCAATCGCAGGCTCACATCCACACTCATGACAGAGAGACACAAAGCAAAGTGAGCAAATGCCACCACCGGTCAGCATGTGCAAGCTCACAGTGAATAAAATCGATAACAAATTACCTTAATGAAACCAGAGTGGAACAAGTCTGGCTTGTTGGGATATTAGAAAAAAACAAAAAAATCTGGACAGGCAATGAAGGCTGCGTCATTTCTGTTTAATCCACACGTCAAATATCCAAAAAGCTCAGCTGCTGTTCTGAGGAGGGGACCATCCCAGCAGAAAATGGAGCTAGAGTCCATAATGTGGCAAATTTGGATGTGTTCACACCCACTCGCCCTTTCACACTCGCTCGAGAGCCTTGCGTTCTATGACAGCGTGGTATACCAAAGTTTACTAAGGAGTGATATGTCTCCCTCAGACCCATACAGGAGTGTGCCGGGCTCTATTGATCCACCAGTGGAGACGAACATGCAAGCGAATAGAGGCAATGTGGGGCTCTGGCACATCAAGAGCAGCTTCAGTTCTTTGAAACCGGACGCACTTCCATTCAAACGAGGCTACAGACTGAAAAAGGTGCTCTCATACTGGTAAACTACTCATAATAGCCGGGCTTAAGATATCAAGCAACGACATCTGAGAAGACAGTCTCCTTCTTTAGGACGCATTCACAGGTAGATTACATTATTTCCACTGAGTGTAGATAGACCTGTATTTCTTTTCAGACTCCCACACGAAATCACACAATTTTATTACTACTTTAACCAAGAATCAAACATCGCCAGCATTTATACATTTTGAATTTCGTGTCATTTTCATCCCCCATTGTTTACTATAACTGACTCACTGTGAGGATGCCATGGCACGTATGTTATATGCAAGATGTCAGAGGGACGTGTGCACAAGAAGAATGGAGAAAGAAACTTGAGTTTTACTAGCTCACACACTCGTTCTGAAGCCTTTCAGGATCAGCCAAAACCAGTGGCAGAATATATGACTCCTTCAATTGTGCAAGGACCACTTTGATATGCTAATATGTTCCTTCCAAACAGCTGGAATTTGCACTCACATTAGCCTAATTTTACCTTTTTTTAATACAAGTACAAGGCAATGGAATCATCATCACAATACTAAAAAAAAAAAAAAGTATTCAGGGAGCAGCAGCCATGCTTCTTATAAATTCCTTAAATTTCAACACTTTTTTATTGAGAGTATGGATTTGTGGAGAAGATGAGAAGATGAACAATAACTTTGCAATTAGGTTTATTTTGTTTCTCATTTGAAAAATTATCTAAGAATATATGAGGCAAAAGGGGGGAAAAAATCCTCTTTAACTCTATAACCCGCTATGGACAAGTAGGTATACGTGAGAATGTGTTGTGCAGATATATTAAAGACAGACATGAGGGACATCTATGGACAGTAATCCAGGCAGGAATTCGAAGGTCTGTCTCTCGCCTTCTTAAGGTTAGTCCTGAACCCCCCAAAAGAGAAGAAGATGAAGAAAAAAAAACTGTGGGCATGTGAAGTCTGCTGGAGCTAAATTTAACCCAATCCTCTGATCGATCACTGAAGATTGCTGCTCCGCTCCAGGCAGCCATGCATCAGCGGTGACCGCTGTGTGTTTCTCCAGCAAAAGGAGAGGCACGCACCGCACCGCATGTGCGCGTCTCCCGCCTCCTCTTTAACACATGGTTGACAAGACACGTTCGGAATCGGTGGGCCTAAATAATAAATGCGCAGTAAAAGGATCTAATTTTTACTGCCACTCTGCGCCCACTGGGTTTGAGTTAAGTGTAAGCAAGCCAAATCAGTTCCTATTTTTTATGCTCTCGTCTTTTTATTTTACCATTTCATTCCAACGTCACCTTCCACCCTCGGAGCCAACTGCCTCACAGGCTAGCTCTGAGGCAAAACTAATTATTACATCTCTAGTTGAGGCTCGAATTATTTTCTGTCTGTTTCTTTCTTTCTTTCGTTTTTTTTGGGACAAATAGCCTAACCCCAATTATAATGGATTAGCCCGTGAATGCTCTCCAGAAACAGGCAGACAACACTTCTCAGGTCACAGCTTCCAGCGTAAATCCCCATTCAAAGCAACAAGACCCATCAGTGGATTTAAAAAACCCTCAGTGGCCAATACCACCAGCAAAACTCCACCTCAACTTTGGAGGCATAAATCCCAATTAAATGACGCTTTGCGTGTTCTGGTTCATAGAAATTGCGCTGCCCCCTACCACACACACACGTTCACAAACACACACACACACGCACTTTAAATTTGTTTCAATTCAGACGTTCAGACTCGGCAGCCGAACAAATCAATCCACATCTGCTTATGTTTTGATTAAGCACTTTTCAATTAACCACGGCACCCGTCGGTACTCCACTGCAGACTGTGTTGCTCTGTTTTTTTAATTCATCATTATTATTATTTTAGTCTCGTTAAACTTATGGTGCCTCTATTATAATGCGAATTTCCTAAAACTGACTCAGACACAACGTCAAATCTGACTCGCCGTCTGTCGCTTTCTAAACAAGTTTCGAAACGCGAGGTTCAGAAGTGACCGAGGCAGAAGGTAAAAGTTACTATACTTTAGTTTGCAGTTTGGATGTTTCATAAGTTTTGATGGTATTAATGCGCAGAAGGAGGGGGGTAAAATAAAATCTACTCTTACCTTTCTCGAAAAGCAGTGTAGCCACGCGGGGCTTGATTGAAGACAGTGAGTAGGAAACTGTGAGCTGTATAAAAAAGATTCGTTTAAAAAATGTCAGATTGTGGAAAGGCAGTCTGATGTGAACTCCTCTGCAGCGAAGAGAGTGAGTCTGCAGGTCTCAGGCATGCTCGCCTTGTCTGGGACAGAGGCTGGCTTTCAAGCGGCAGGTCTCCCTTTCTGCCCGTACATTCCCCTGCACCGAGCGCACACTTCCATGGCACGCAAGGTGTTGCTCTGAGCTCAGTCCTAACTCATCAGCCACCTCATGCACACCTCTGAGCGGCTCATACAGTCTCGGCTCTCCCTGTGCGTGCGCCCTCACTCCCCGACGCAGCAGCAGCAGCAGCGGTAACAACAAGAGTCAAAGAGAAGCGAAGCTCGGGGACCAAAAAAACAAGGACTTGAGTGACTGAGAGGGACAGACAAGAGTGGGGCTTTTCAGTGTCTGGTGGAGGGGAGAAGACGAAGATCTCTCTCCGCTACTGTAGCCGCCGCCGGTGCTGCTCTCCTGGCTCCCCTGAATGATACTGTGTGGGGACTGGGCAAGTTTCAGCGGCTAGCCTCTGGAAAAGATCCCGCTCACAGTGTTGAGACACTTGGAGGAAGCAGCGCTGAGCGGGCTTCCAGTGAACAGCGCCAGTGCAGTTGATACCAGGCTGCCGACTGCAGGAGCTGTCTGAGCGCAGGTCTACACTAAAACCTGACATGGATTCTAGATCCACCACGGCTCGGAGTCTAGACGCATCACAGACTGTCCTCATCAACTTATCATCATGCCCGGCAGGACTGTGCTCAGCTTATTTTCCTACAGAGGGGCTATTCCACTGCATCATACAGAAAGTAAAGCTTTATTACGAGTGCAGCGCCTTCATTTTTGGCCCCACTTTTTTTCTGCTTAAAGAAGCGACACTGCCTTCCTTTTGGGTATGAGAGGCCCATATTCTGTCACAGTAGGCAGTCCGGCCTATTCAACCAATGACAGTGGAGTCATTCTACTGTAATACTACCAAGCATCAAAAGAACACGGACGTGCACACAGACCTTTTTCTCCCTCGCTCAAACCAGCCCCATTTGGACAGCACTCTGGCCCATGCAGCAGTGGTCAAGCTGCCGCTGGTGTGTAGAGCCAAGCGTGTGCGGAGCCAAGCAGTTTTTCAAATCAAGAACCTCTTCAGAGTCGTGAATGTATTTTTCCCCCCTTCTTTTTTTTCATCGCTCCTCTTTTCCTTTACATGATTCATGACACCATTCAGCAGTCAATGGATTTCTTTTCAGGCTTCTGGGACTTTGACCCTGGCACTCCTTACTGCATGCAGTATGTTATATTGGTTTTCTACATTATACTCCACTGTGGGTAAAATGCAGATTATTATACTTCATCGTGCACAGCATTTCTTTCTGGAATGAAGCTGAGCTCTGATATATGTTTTTTTCCTATTAAAACAAACAAATATATATATTTATGAAAGTTTGAAAATCTAATTATCGGCACAGCTGTTATTTGGCGTTTTTTATTAGGGCCACTTTTTGGCCTCACAATATCTAAAAATAAACACAGCTGTTTTATGTTTATATTTGAGTCTTGCTAATACTTGGAGCGTGCTGTAATCTGGTTAAGGAATGCCGTTAAACATCAGGTAGAGCGCAGGCACACACCTGGCTTCAATATAAAAAAAGCCCGCTGTCTTTCACCCACTATGGGGAAATGTGAAGTTGAGTCATGCTTGCCAGGTGAAGGTGAACGCAGGAGAGGGGCAGACTTATGTTTTCATAAGCATAATTTTACATAATAATACAGGCCGTTTTTGCAAGGGACAAAAAAAGAGAAAACAGATGTAATAAAAGGTCATCCAGTGACAGGCATCCATATCTGGGAGAGATGTTTATTCATAAGCTGGGACTAAAAACACATGTGGTCTCTCTGGCTGCAACAGCTTAAACTGCCATTTTGCATTTGGAGTCATTTGAATATGTTTCCTCGGATTGTCAACAGAGGGCATTAGACTTGTATTATTATTATTATGAATGTACTCAGTTCACTGAATTGTAAAATGCACAGCACTATAGATTACAAACAGGCAAAGATAGGATTTTTCTGTTTGTTTGTTAATGACAGTCTTGCTGGCGTATGATCCCCAGTCAGTTTCTTGACCAGCGCATAAATTGTTCATGTGCAATTGTTAATGAATAACTGTGATGTAATCATATCCTGCAAAGGTAGCAGACTATTGCACGTAATCACTCACCAAATGGCGCATGATACCTGCTGGCTCTTACTCAACCCAGACACGCCGAGGTGAAAAACAACATCATAATTATCAAAGCCTTTTCAAATATCAAGTATATACTGTTAATCAACCAAAACTGAAAATGTTAATGTGCGTTTGCAGCATAGTAAATAAGTAACTACCGGTTCTTTTCCTGGCCTGGAGGAATAAACTTTCTGAGATAATGGAAAAACCTTTGGAGTCCCTTTGGCACGTGGCAGGAATTTCATTCCCTCCTGGGTTTGAAAACAGGGCAACTCGTAATGTCAATCCTCATATTTTTAGTCCTTTTGCTGAATGTAAAGTGGGATTAGGGAAGATATTAATATTGAATTATATACTAAATAACAGCACAAAATGTAAGCATTTAAAGTATTCCCCGATCAAATAAGGCAACAGGTTAAGTCGGTCGCTGGGACACTTATACCTGAGAAATCCCTAATGGAAATCTATTTGTTTGACACCGACTGACTTCCACATGGGAATCTTTTCATAAACAACAGCTTTATTAATAACCTCTCCAAAACAAAGAAGAAGCAAGGATCAGAGCTGGAATCATTTCCACGAGGAAAAATTCAGGTTTTGTTGATATGCACCAAAAACAGACAAATTCAGTACAGGATGCAGTTTTTCTCCTTACTGTCCAGTCACGCTTAGTGACTTGGTTGACAGAGATGTAGAAAGTCTCCCAGGACTCTGACATGTTCTGAAGCTCTCCAACACGCTTACTGCAACGATCACAAGATTGTTTGAAATCTCCAACAGTCGTGTTAACTTTGATCTTGAAGTTTGAACACCGGGTGATGTCGGTTCAGTTAAAATGACTCATCATGAGGAGCTTATCCAGCTTGTAGGTTCCGTAGGGGAAAATGTATAATTAAATAGTAATCTCAAAAATTCCCTGCTTTGGAACACCAGATCAATGAGCTTGCATCTTATGGAAAATTAGCATTCTTTAGCCATTTTGTTAAGATTCTTAACACTGTTAATCAACAATGATAGAACTATCTACATATAAATACTGCTATATTGTATATAAGGACTGAATAGTTTCAGTTTTTATCTGTTACAATGTATCTCATGGTACATATGTATCACTATTATATTTAGAATGATGGAACAAATGTAAGTAATCGGGATATTTTGATAAATTGTGGTTTATTACTTTTTGTTCACTGATAAAAAAAAGAGGACGCACCGCTAGTACAACTGTGAGGTTTTCGCTTCAGTGAAAATGACGTCAGACACTTCAGGCAGACCTAGGTTATCCATGTTGAGAGCAAACATGTCATCCCGTTTCCCATGTGGTTCCTCGATCGCTTCGTAACCTTCAGTTTTCACTTAACAAAGCTTATTGGTTCTTTCCCAAAATATCTGCACATGATTGGCACCTCAGGCACACATGACCAGTCACAAGACCGCTGCTGATTCCAACAAATCCGTGTCCTTTAATGATGATGGACAAAGACTTGGCCAAGCTACATGCTCCCGAGCACGTCTACCCTTGATCATTTATGTTTTCGGTGTTCTTTTTATCTCATTTTATTAGATTTACTTGGGACGGACCCTGATTTACAGTCCTGTGCAAAACACTTTTAAGCATTTTGGATGTTTACATTTTTATTCAATCATGTAGGATCATCAAAGACGTCTCTGATCTGTTCCAAATTCATTCTGCGGCACGACAATGACCCCAAGCATACAGCCGCAGTCGTTAAGTGACAAGAATAATTAGAGGTCTTGCGACAGAGTCCTGATGTCAACATCATGGAGTTAGTCTGGGATTACACGAAGAGACAAAAGACGCTGAGGCAGCCTTAATCCACAGAAGAACTAAAGCGAGTTCTCCAAGACGCTCAGAACAGCCTACCTGCCAAGTGTGTCAGTGTGTGCCTACAGGAAAGGGAGCATGTGTTAAAGGCAGTGGGTGGTCAAAGCAAAATTTGACTTGATTTGATTTCTCTTCTTTTTAACTGCACATCAAGCACGAATTGATAAACACTAACACGCACTAACTGTGAGTGCATTACATCAGAAGTCTCTATCACAGCTTTGTGTGAAGACACCGGGATGTTGAGGTGACAAAAACAAGTTCCAATTAACTTCCTTCTGTAATTACAGCATCATTTAGACTTGCTCGTTTGCTTTTACCCAAATCGTTAGAGTGCGGATAAAAGAATCAGCTTTAGCAAAACCAAAAGAGGTTTCCTTCCAATATCCTTTTTCTCACATCTCTTCCAACCACTACAGATGAGAAGTTCAAAGTGAAATTTTGGATACGTGAAATGTGAACTAGTGATGTTTCTTACCCCGATTCGTTTGCATGAATCTGTTCCAAATCAAGTGAAACTCCTCCTGACTCTGTATTCTCTCATCAATTTTGTAAAGCTGGCTTCAGTGGTCTCACTGGATATCAAACTCTTGGAGTAGACTCGTAATCAAAGAAGGCCTCCCTCCACAGTGGAGCCTTGGTTAATATTTATGTAGCCACGGGCAACCGTGTAGCTTGGAGTTTTGACCTCACTTCTGCAGCACCTTGAGGTGTCTCCCTACGTCTGCTTGAACTGAGAGCAGAAGTGGGACGAAGAGGGATTCTCAAAAAACTGAAGTTAGATTGTTTAGCAGCTTTTAAAAAGTGTGCGTTTGAATGTTGCAATATTCGACCTTTTCAAAGGCAGATTTTTAAAT